TAGACAGTGTTTCAACAAAGTTATCCTTTTATTTGTTACATATGGGTTGAAGACCGTGTATCAACAAAGTTATCCTTTTATTTGTTACATATGGGTTTAAGACTGTGTTTCAACAGTTATCCTTTTATTTGTTACATATGGGTTTAAGACAGTGTTTCTACAGCAACTTTGTGTTGGTAATTAATGGGTAGAAAGTGATGTTGTTATAAAATTCGCTTTCGTTGCATATGAGTCTAAACCAGTGTTTCAACAACGTTAATTTGGTGGCTTATTGGTATAAGGGGGAGTTGCTACAAATTTAGTTTTTGTTGCGTGTGAGTCTAAGGCAGTGTTTCAACAACCTTGTTTTGGTAGCTCATGAGTCGGAAGTGGTGTTTTACAATTTTTTAATTTTTTAAAATTAAAAAAAAAAAATTTTTTTGGGAGGGGATTTGCTCATGAGACAGTTTTTCTATTTTTAAAATGAAACAGTGTGATCTGCTACAGTCATCGAGGCAAAGCGAATGGCTTGAAAAAAAAAATTTTAAACAAACAATGTACTGTGCAACTCATTCATAGAAACTACTTAAACATTTTGTTTCCTTGGGAGAAACCGTATACAAATTATGCATATCCTATACATATAACATATATGTATAATATGTATATATATATATATATATATATATAATAGAATAGAATAGACTAGACCATTTTTGCTTTAGAAAGAAACTCAGAACCTTTATTGTTGATCTATAGAGGGACAGAGTTTGGGTCAGATCATTTCCTCTGTATAGCATCAATCAACCTGCAATTGAAAAGGCATGTGAAAATAATCACCCTAAATGTTGCACAGATTTAGCATTTTTTGGGGCTATTTTCATGGCGGAACAAGCAAGAGCGAGCCAACATTGATATTCAAATATGCTTGTAAGTGCCTATATATTGTTTGTCACATATAATAAAAACTGTAGGATACCTTTTTGAATAAAAAAATGTATGTGTGAGAAAGGCATAGAGGATCGATTGCGAGATATGCTCAGCTGATCGGTGTGAACAAACGTGCTGAAAGTGCCTTTATAAAAAAAAACACGCCATTTCTTCGTATGCAATGACAGACAGTAAAAACAAAATTGTAGCATCCCCCCACTCTAAGGTATCGAATAAAAAAAAAGCGGGGGGGGGGGGGGGGAGGGAAAAAAAGGGGGGGGGGGGGGGGGTGGACAAGTGATCCAAAATTAATAAACAGGGGTTAGGTGGGGTGGGAAGTTGAAAAAAAAGGGGGGGGGGAGAGGTGGCAAATTTAGCCTCATATCCCTTTACTAGTAGGAACAAATCTGTATTAATTCTCCTTCTGTGAATAAATGAAAAAGAGATCATGAGATTTTAGGGATTTTAGTACGTTACTGTGACAATTTTTCCCCATTTAGGAACAAACCAGTTTCATAAAAAAAAAAATAAAGCAATGTACAAAAGTTTTTAAAATGCTCAGAAAATTGAGGCAGCCAACCCCGTACCAATACTTATACTGAGGGTCATTTGCCTTTTACAAAATGCAAAAGAAGTTTCACTCAGATATCTAGATTCTAGATCTAATATTTCACAATATGATCGTCGGTCGTGGAAAGCTGAAAAATAATAAACGAGGGGTATGGCACAAGGGACCGGGGGGTGGGAGGGGGGGGGGTGCGCAAGAAAAAAAAAGCAAATTATTAAGCGGGAGTTAGAGGGGGGCGCTTATTCAAGCAGAATAGGCTAGTTAAAATGCAAAATTGACCTCAGATAAAACTTAAGCCCATTTTCCAAAACGAAATAACTAATACACAAAACGAAACTATTATGAACCGAGTTATCTTGGTCGTGGGATTGAACGCAGTCCGCGCACTGATTTAATAGATGATGGTTAGAATGATCTTCTGTATCCTTCTTTGTTAGAGGTGAGAAGCCTAGCAGATCTTTTACTTCTGACTGATATTTTCATTTGAGGGAACAAGGAATGTTTATTCTTCCAAATAAGATGAAATTCACCTTTCTAGTGTAAGCTATTATGTATAATTCATCGAGGTAGGGGAATGTAGATGTTGAACTTTTGCATGCTTTCCGTGTCAGTCGATTCAATTTTTCTTTGCATTTTTGTCTTGTGTTCCCGCCCATGCTGTTATATAGAAATTGATCATACTTTTTATGGTTGAATGATAAAATATGAACATCAACGCTGAAATCTTTCGAAACCGTACAAAATGACCTGAGTTCATGAATGCCCAGTCGGGGAATCGAACCAGGGCCGCTCTGCTCTGTAGTCCAGCATAAGACCAACTAAGCAAATAGAGTGCCCACCCTTGACGTAACGCGGGGCAACCCAATGACGAAATGTGACATAGGTACTTTGTCCACAGTAGCGTTTGTTCTCATGAATGGCACTTCATTCTTCTTCTTCTAATTTATAAGCTCATTGGTTGGTGGCTGGCTGGTGTTCTGGTTTGCTCCTTCTTTCCTATCAAATAGGTACCGTCCTTATCTCTCCGCATTCTTATTTGTTTTTTACACTTTCTTGTAACACCTCCGCTCTAATCTTCAACACTTCTGTAACATTATTGTGCCGTAAGCTTTTGCTAAAAACGAAACAAAGCAAAACAAAACCCACCAGACTCATTGTCATTCACGCTGTCCATCATTTCATTTTTTAAAAAAAAGATGACATTCCCTGCGATGTTGTTTTCCTGCGTCAGTCATGAGTTCGGGCAGTAATAAGCTAAATGAGCTTTGTGTCGTGACTTCAGGCTCGGAGAAGACTTTGGAGATTGCATTGACTCAGCATTTTCCTCGTGTCCAGAGAAAGTCAAGGATCATCTAGAGGATCAGAAAAATAACATCTACTTGGAGGAAATGCTGACGGGATGTGGTAAGGAGTCGAAACCACCTTTCTTGCCCCTCCCCCCACCCCCCCTTCCGCCCCACCTTTTCTTTTCGCAGGGCAATGTGCTTCTGCTATACAGTTCGCTCATTCAACCTTGTTAAGAATAAGTTCTTTGCCCATGTCCATCAATTTGGCTCATGGAATATTATTATATGTTCCTTGTCATCTTCATCTATACATAAGTGAGACAGTGCGGTGGAATCGGGTTCTCGTGAAAATAATCAAAATGAAGAAACTTGCATTTTTTCCGCAGGTTTGTGAATTTTTCATCAAATTTTTGTTTTTGGGCTCAACGCCTTTCATGCCCATTAAAAAACTCATTTCTGTGTGGATATTTCTGAAAAACGTTGATTAAAGGCACAAACGATGTAAATTTTCAGTTACCACGGACTCTTAAGCTAAGGAAATAACTAATCTTTGGTAGCCATTTTCTCACTAATTTTACCACTGACAACAGGTGACTCCCACCTCCTTCATTCTCAAATATCTCAACTTGTATTTAAGATTAACGGGTATTTTTTTCATCCAAATAAAGACAAGTGAACAAGCTTTAAGATGATACCAATAACTTGATGTGCCCAAAAATTGACGAGAGCCTGATTCCACCACGCTGCCTCACATAATGTATTTGTGAAAGTTCGTCACTTTGGCCGCCTACAACTTCGGAACTGCTTAATTTTTGAATTTGAAAAAAAATAACGGTGGTTCAGAAGCATTTAAAGGGAGCACAGTGTCTAAAATCAGTCACTGTAGCTTTATTTTCAGTCTTTCATTGGTTTCGTTTAGATCTAATCTTGGGAAAGTCCGTCTTCTAAGATGCCATTGTAAACAAGTGAGGTTTCCGTTCACTAGCCGTGCACACTCATGACTCCACACCTTTGAAATTCTGGAGTGTGCAACCACGAAAGCAGATTAGAATAGAGAGAGAATCAATCTATACATCTATTATATATTTGGCAAATTGGAAACACATGACATGACGTGTCACTTTTCTCTCAAGATTTATTGCCCCATTCCAGTAGTGTAAATATAGAAGGCCAATGAATTTCAGTTGATGTTAATACGCCAATCATTCCTTTCATCGAAAAGGGGTCCAGCTAGTCATACATATACGTACATATTATGCACATAAACACAAACACACACACTCACACACACACACACACATACGCATACAAACATACACACACACACATACACACACGCACACACACACCCACACACGCACGTATATACAGGGTGGTTAAAAAAAAGAATGAACCGCTTTCATTACACAATATTTTAATAAGGAAAAGCAATTGAAAGCGTAATTTAAAAAAACCCAACAACTATACAACTTTTTTCTGAGCATCTCGCGCTCAAATTGTTCTAGAATGATGTAATTTGGAACAAACATAATTCAGTCAAAAGGAATTTGTTTGACATATAATCCACGAAAAAGACACTTATTTTGAAAACGGAAATGGCTTAAAGATAAAAACACCCTAAAACATAAAGTTCACCAGTTTTTTTAAAACCTTGTAAAGGAAGTCATATAACATTGGTTGACTTTTTTCTTTTTTCTTCCTTTATTTTTCTCTTTGACATGTAATTTTTCATCCCTGTAATGTTTAAACAATGTTTAATTTCTTTTTACAGCGTTTAAAAAACAAACGATTTCATTCTGGAATTCCTAGAAGCAGTGCTCTCCTTTGGACTCAACGCGTCGTTCGAAATGTTCAATGGAGCGCAAACACTAGGACCTGCCAAACCATGAGCGTTTAAAGCCAAATATAACTGTATATATTCAGTGTGAAGTGGCGTCTAGAGACAATAGGCAGAGGGGTGCCCAATAGACGGCATGTTTGGAGTTAACATATCCCGCAAGGTGAAAATGGGCTTTGCACTAATAGTGGGGCCGCTTAGCAAACCCATTGTGCATTTTGTGATACAAGCACCAAACTTCGTACAAATGTACCGTAACATATAGAAATCATTTTCAGATATTGGGCCACTCGGATTTCTCTCTTAATGGCCGCCATATTGGATTTCAAAATGGCCGCCATTTGAAATCTACGTTTGCGATTATCTCTGGGTCAAATGCTGCTACTGACTTCATTTTGGTGCCTAAATGTATGTTTTTGGGGTCAAGCAAGCCAATGGTAACAATCTGAATTGCGTATTTGTACTAATGGGTCGACATATTGGATTTCAAAATGGCTGCTTAACATTGCATGGCTGCTTTTCGATCTACATTCGTCGTTATCTTGTCGCCGTCACATGTTTGGAGAAGCCAAACCTTTCACAGGGTTCCCTGGAGGATGCCAAGAAGAAAACTAGCAACCGTTGCTGCTTGCCTTAGTCAACATGAAGCTAGAGAGACCCAGCATCAAGGACCAGATGGCAAACACTAACCCAGCAGCAATTACCGCAGCTCAGATACTGAAGTTCAACAGCGTAAAACACAAGCGAACGCGTGGCACCACATCATCCACCTGTGTCAGGCACAATGTTGTACAGGAGACCCCACTTCCAACATACATTAGGATGATGTTGCATGCTCATACACACAAGAAGGAATTGATCGACAGACTGTCACACCTTGGCCTGAGTATCTCTTATGATAGAGTGCTCCAGCACTCAGCAGAGATGGGCAACTATGTCTGCCAACAATTTTACAGAGAACAAGTGGTCTGACCTCCAAAAGTGTCTGACGAAGAGTTCACAATTGCCGCTGTAGATAACAAAAATCACAATCCTAGTGCAACAACATCAAAAGACTCCTTCCAAGGTGCCACTATCTCCCTCGTACAACATCCTTCTTACACTGGTGAAGGAGTAAATCTGAGCATATTCGTTGCTGGAGAATCTGGAGATGCACGGTCCAAGACTGTCGCTTCTTTGCCGCACTATTGTACTAATGTACCCCCTGTCACTATAGCAGTATCAAGACGTCGCCTGTCCCAGCTGTTGGTGTTGCGTTATTGACGACAGGAGACTTCAAACAGTAGACTGATGCAAAATACCATTGGTTAGGCAATGCAAAACACGCCCTGGGAGACAACACTGGTACATTGGACAATAAAAACACATCTTGGGCTGCATTTTATGCCAGCCGACAGCCACCAGAGGGTAGAGTCATCTGTCCCACGTGGCTGCTTTCACTCTTCCTGGAAAGTGCTCACACTGTGGCAATGATCAGGCATTTAATAGACGTTGTGAAGAAAGCTGTAGAACACCTGGATCCTGGACAGACACCAGTGGTCACATTGGATCAGCCACTGTTTGCTTTGGCCAAGCAGATACAGTGGAAGTGGCCAGAGAGTTATGGTGAAGACTACATAGTGGTGATGTTTGGTGGTCTCAACATAGAGATGGCAATACTGAAAACAATAGGGGACTGGCTGCAAGGGAGTGGTTGGTTGCGACAGCAAGGACAGCAGACTCATTCCTGCGAGCATCTCAAGTCTTGCGCACAAGAAGAGCACATCAAGTGACTGCAACAGCACTGTACATCCTGCAACACCATGCCTACAACCACTAGTGTCTGGGAGAAACCAGGGATGCAGAGGACATTCCTGCGTTTGAAGACTGGTGACGCCAGAGACGAGACAGCATCTCCCAGTTTCGCCACTGGGCAGCTGTGCTGGAACAAGCAAGAACTGTTGGCTCTAGTGTATGTGCGTTTTCTCAGGCAGGGATCATTGATGATGTACCTCGATGCTCTGACAGAGCTGGTCACTTGGTTCCACGCACTAGATCATACCCACTATGTAAGGTGGATACCGGGGCACCTGAAGAACACCACCGAACTCACTACGAAACACCCAGACGTAGCAAGGAAATTCAGTGAAGGCCATTTCACAGTTGAGAAAACACAGAGGGTGTTCTCTTTAATCCCGATTGACCAGGCACATGAGCAGAATAATGCCTGCATCAAAGACTAGTGCCCTTCGTCGCTGGATGGTTTCAAGACCAGAAATTGCTAGGGTGATCGAAGAATTCCCCAGGACGGGAACCAATACTGGAGACAGCAAGCAAGCAGCAGACAGACACACGTCATTATGATCAGACGCCGAGTGTACATTCCTCATTTGTAAAAGATGTTCGCTGTCTCGTCGGTATCATAAAGGAGATGGGCAACCCATTCGAGGAGGAGAGTCAGGATCTAGTCATACTGGACACATAGAACATCGCAGATCCTTCTGCCGTGGAGACCGTGATGAAAGCCAAGAGGATTGGGCAAGAGCAGCCCGAGGCTTTCACCAAAGAGTGTCTGTTGGACAGAACAAAGGCAGTGGACGACCCCATTCCTCGTGAAAAAGCTGAAGGTATTCAGCACTTCCACTCCAAGAAACAAGAGTAAATGTTAGGATCAGTTCGCCTCTGTCAAAAATGACCGTGAACTCGTCGCACGCCTGTACATTGGCTGGCAGACGAGGGGTGGAAACCTTGAGGAGTTCTTTCGTCACAAGAACCAGGCATTTCCTCCTGCACTGTCTGCTGTCTTCACTTGTACTAAGAATGATCTCATCACAGGCTTTGAAGAAATCTTCAACGCCAAGACAGCGACTCCTGTCACTAGCTGTATAGTTCTTGATGGAGCAGCCATCGCCCAGATTGACTGCATCAAATTAAAGACATTTGAAGAGTATGCTCCTAAGATCTTCATTCCATATGTCCTAACAAAATTACAAATAAAATGACCGCTCGTAAGACCAAAACCCCCCCACAAAAACACAGCCACCAGCATAAGACAATCACCGGTTCAAATGGCCACACACCCCGTCCCGCTTCTTCTACATTATAAAGACAATGTGTTCAACGTCAACCTGTCTAAGACAACCACTTTTCTTCCCCATAATAGTTGGCCATCTTGGACAATTTCGACTGTAATGCCTTGTCCTAAGAAAATGGCGAATTAAATGAAATAATGTCTTTGTTTATTTTCAGATGGTGCTTGTGGCAAAGCTATGTCCTCCTGCTTCCGGACTGTGGAGTCTACCTTTCGCCAGAAACCAGTCAGAAACAACACTCTCTGCCCGTAGGTATACGTTGTATGACATTGAAATGTCTGTCCTTAAATGGTGCTCTTGAATCTCACAGGAGAACAAACGAAATACACACTGTCCCATTTCCATACACCGAGAGATGCACTTGAAGCTTCTTCTCATTTCCAGAGGGAAAAAAGGGAGTGGGGTGGGGGTTAAATGCATTTGCTGGTAAATAAGTTCAAATTCAAAACTACTTGTTTTATGGCGTGTTTTACGTTTTTAGTGCTTGAAGCTTTTCTTTGAAGGCTAATAAGATTATGTATACCAAAGCATAGCGTAGATAGCCCAGCTGTGCCCTTGAGGGCTTTAAGCATATTATATTACACAATTAATTACTTCACAACATTTCTAGAAGTTGATAGCACTTGTGTGTATGCTCTTTGACAAGAGGTTTCATTTCATATCGCATCTCAATTTTGAAAGATATAGATCTTGTTTAGTTATAAAATTGGTATAGGCTGATAACAGATGCAGCTGACGGACAAGTCAAACACACCTCGAATTGCTATCTAACAGCGCTAGTTTTGTGAAAATGGGCACCACGTTTTAAAGATATTAACTTCCTAAAATAAAAATAATAACTTCCTAAACTCTCCCCAAACACAAGAAATACGGTGAGATATAATGCCATCCCTTCCGCATGTGCTCTACAGGTACACAAACGTGGCTTTGACCTGTGCTGTGAAGCTGAACCAGACGGACTGTGCCTCTAACAAGACATTTTTTGACAGTATCATGTCTGTCTGGAATAAAAGAATTTCAGATTTCTGCCGTAAGTCACAGCTTCCGTTTACTTATCTTATATAAAGCGTCACAATATGACAACAGCAACGGCAGTAGCAAAAGAAAAAAGAAAACAGTAATGCGGTGTTCACACATACAGGAGAAGAGTCGACGAGCAATTCCCGATAAGATAATGGCAAAATCGGGTATAATCGGGACGAGCATCTAGCCATGACTGTTGACATTAGTGTGTTCGTGGGCTCTTGGGGAGACGCTCGCCTAGCTATAATTTAGGACGGCGAGCATCTCGCTGAGCGTCTCGCCGAGCGTCTTAGCGAGCAATTAGTTTGAATCCTGGCCTCTTGCAGAGCCAAGAAACGTAGTGGCTGTGTAAAATTTCACAAACCGACAAACTCGCCAACCATGCTAACCATCTTGCCAACCCGTCGCCGAGTTACTGGGCGTGCAATGTTGTAATATATAATGAGGGGAGCAAAATGTTTGTGCTCATTCCTTCAACACGCCTCAAATGACACAGATGATGCACTGGGAAGTGCTCAAGAGATGCCACCACCGGAGATGCAGATATTGCAGTAGAAGACATTCTGGACTCTTCTTCAGAAACAGCAGGAGATGGAGTGGGAGCAGCAGCAGCAGAAGTATCCAGAAGGCTCATGAAGGCAGAATGGACAGCAGGGCTTGGCATACATGAATACGGATTTGGTACGTGCACTCTGGTATCTGCAGAAGGTGGAGCATCAACAGCAGCAGTCCTTCGAGTGAACTTCTTCGGGGGCATTGTAACGTAAGTAGATAGTCGATGTGTAGATAATGCCAGGGACAGTGTGCTGTGCGTTTTTTGGTAGGGGCACGAAGGTCGCTGTCTCACGGCGCATGCTCGTCGTGTCAACTTTTGCGCACCGTGCTTGAGGAATTCAGACTCCCCCGTGCAAGATTTTCACACGGCTAGCAATGACTTAATCCGCAAAATATAAAATTTAACTCAACTACCATTCAGATCTCGTCGCGTGTCACTGTCACTCGGCAACGTATGTAACCTTGCACAACGTGCTATTTCTGACACTTCCCGAGTCGTCCTCGAGTTTTTCCCTAGAAGGTTATTGACTCGGCTACTCATTTTTCGCTAGGCTAAAATTTTAAGCCTGTTTGAAAAGTTTGGCAAGCTTCCTGTATAATAATATCACACGGTGAGCATGAAATACAGTCTACACAAAAAGGGCCATTTACAAAAGTGCACTCAAAGTAAAAATCCGCAAATCAAATTCTGCCTTTTTTCACACACATTTAATTCATCAATCAAAAAGTATTTAAAAAAAAGAAATTTCATCACAATTGAAACCGAAATGCGTAATTCCCAGCGCTCAAAAGGGACCCACCCTCAAAATCGAAAATCACAAAAGAAAGGGTGTCAAAAAGTATCAGCAATATCAAAGAAAACGACCAGTTCAAGTTCGTTAGTGTTAATGGAATTGTCAGAAGCGCATGTGTCCACCATTTACGGCAAGGAAGTCAAGGCATCTTGGCAGGGCATTAGTATCTGCAGGAGATCCTTCGACCTCTGGTCGTCCCGGCGCTGTAGCAGATTGGGCTTGCTGCTGTCCTTCAGGATGAAAACGCCACGCTGCACAGGTCCAGGGCCGTCGTCGCCTTCGTGCAGGAGGCGGGGATTACCCGCATGGTTTGGCCAGCCAACAGTCCAGACCTCAATCCTATTGAACAGTTGTAGGCTAAGCTTGATCGGAGAGTTCTGGAGAACCACCCTTTGCTCGCCAGCAGCTGCCTGGATTGCTGTTACAAAAATGGAACAACATTCCCTGGGCCTTTCTTTTGTGATTTTCGATTTCAAGGGTGGGTCCCTTTTGAGCATTGGGAATCATGCATTTCGGTTTCGATTGTGATGAAATTTCTTTGTTCCACTTATGGATTAATGAATTAAATGCATATTAACGAAGGCAGGATTTGATGCGCTGGTTTTTATTTTGCGTGCATATTTGCGAGTGGTCCTTAACTTTTTGTGAAGACTGTAAAGATATGGCTCGGGGAGTTGCTCGGCGAAAAAAAATCCAGAGTTGCCCCGATCTGCTAGACTTTGAAATGTTGTCTTACTCGGCTTCATTACTCCTGTATGTGTGAATACCGCATAGCAGGAACAGTAGCATTGACAACAGCATGAGTAACAACAGCAACACACTCCAAGCCACAAGAAATCATTAAAACTTAAAATGTTAACGTAGAAATGTGTTTTAGTTTTACCTTGGTCTTTTCGCTGAACGGGAGGTTTTTCGTCAGCCCTTGGGTGGAATAATTTATTTTTTTGTCGTGTCGTTCAGTATTCAGAGCTGGAGAATCTCAAATCAACGGCTGCTGATAAAAGATTTTGTATGATATATATCATGGGGTGAATATCCAGTTTGCACAAACAGCTGTTGGGTTCGACTGTTTTATATTGTTTTAAATATTTGTTGGTACTTTCTATGAAATTCCACCACCCACGTAACCATATCAGTCTTTTCATCCTCCTCATCGCTCTTGAGGCATTTGCCCCTCCACTTTGCCTTTCCCTCTTATTTCTTCCCATCTCTCTCCCTCATCCTCGTCCTCTCTCTGTAACATTTCCCCGGCCCTCTCTCTGTATCGACTCCACCTGTCTTTTCTTGTCCCCATCCCAGTTCTTCTTTCCTCTTCCTCTCCTTCGTCCCCACTCACTTATCCCTTCTTCCCGTTGCTCCCTCTCTTTCTGCCTAGCCCCCCTCCGCACCCCCTCCCTTTCCCAACATCTCCTTCCACCTCATCCTAAACTCCCCTTTTTCTGAATCACCCTACCCCCTCCTCCCCTTGCAGCTCCTGCCACGACACATACTCACATCTCACACCCTCCTCTTCCCCCCCTTCCATTCCTCTACTCCCCCCCCCACACACGCAGCACGTACTTACGTCTCACACCCTCTTTTCCCCCACGCCCTTCCTCCTCCCCTACCTCTCTCTCAAAAGTTCGCTCCTCATTCTACCCTCCCCCTACCCTCTTCCCATCACGACTCACACTTGCGTCTCACATCCTCCTCTTTCTTCGTCCCTTCCCTCCCCATCTCCAACCAAAACCGCAGCACATAGCCCCCATCCCTAACCCCTCAACCACACCACAATACATCCTCTTCACCCTAACCCCCCCTCCCCCCCCCATTACATATATTCACATCACACATCCACCCCACCCCCAGTAGATGAAAAGAAACAAAAAAGCTGAATCTGAATTATCGAAAAATGAATGTCAAATTCTGTCTCTCCGGATAATAAATTGGGTAGACGCGGTCTGATGTTAAAGAACTAGTGTCATGGAGCCGGAGAATGTAGCCAGATTGTTAATTGTTTTTCTCCTGGATCGAAAGCAGTCAGTCTTTTTGCCGTGGTCGTCTTTCGGTGTCGCATTGGTTTATCCTGAAAACAAAGCAAAAAACCCATCACCCTCCCCCCCCAAACCCCCTCCACAAAAAATCGGATTGATACGTTACCAGGGTTCTAAATGCGAAACGGCGATATCTTTAGTATATTAGTTCAAAAAGATAAAATAAATATTCGTTTATTTATTTATTTATTTCCAACTCGGCTGCTAATCAATTAATTGATTGCTTAATTAACAGATCAATTGATTAACAAAAGAAACGCACTGAGGCCGTAGCAAGGTGAGGTTTTCCGCCTATCACCTTTTCCGCAGAAAACACTCATCAAAAGAAATTCAGGAGAAAAATCAAACCCAAAGACAAACAAAATAAATAACTAATTAGCAGCAACGACAAACAAACAAACAACTAAACGAACAAACAGACAAAAGAACCACAAACAAATAACCAAGTAAATATACTGGATTCAGACATTGCGAAAATGGCACATACAAGTCTGCTCACATTTGTTTAGTTTGTATCATAGGATTGAAAAAAAACCCGTTAGGAAACTGAAACTGAATGCTACACTCTTTCACTGCCTCCATCCCTCAATCCACATCCACCCCCAGTCTCCCCATTCCCGGCATGATACCCTATTTTCAGGTGTTCATCCACATCACCCCTTTCCACCCCTCTTCCTATAAGTACAAAGCATTGACCTGTCTCATAGTATCCAAGACTGGGCACCCCTGACGTAGTTTCAGTTCTGGATTTCAGCATTTGTTGCTCCTTCAGGCCTTTCACGACACTCTCGCCCGTATGTAGCAATCACCTGAGTGAATCTGTCTTTCACGTCGTCCGCAAGCTGTACCCATGTCTCCTCGCGTCTGATTGCCCCAACAGTGAGAGACAATCAGCCTGCCCACACTGAAATGGAACCTCCTGAAGAGGGGCGAGAAATCACGGAGCAACCCGTTTTCCTGAGACCCAAGTTCTACATTCAAGTAATTAAAGTTCAAGTCATTCAGTTCACTATGAAGCGTACAATTTGACTCTATTTGGAACCGAATGACAAGTGGGACTAGATCTAGTAGCGCGTGCACTTAACAGTAGCGACACGTGTGTTTTCCGAGTGCGTGGTGTGCACTAGCAAAGCGAATTTTTTTTTGTAAAGAGCAAAGAGTGGCGGCCATGACTGTAGTTCCCAGCCTTGTTATGCGTCACATTGGAATCAATTCAGCGCTCGTCAATTTTTGGACATATCATAATAAACTTGTACATTGGTATTGCTTTTGATGAAAAAAAAAATCCATCTATTGATTGAGATGGTGTTCGCCTGGTATCAGAGGTAAAATTAGAGAGAAATGTTGCTTAAATTTTTTGCTTAAGCTGCATGTTCTCTGCCTTTAATCAACGATTTCAGTAAAAATCCATCTAGAAATGTGTTTTAAATGGACATGAAGGTATTGAGCCCCCCTTCCAAAGAAGTGAAGATCGGTTTCTTTGGTTTGAGGAGCGCCTGATTTCAACACAAAGTCACACATAGCATGATTCAAGTCGGTGTTACGAAGCTGTGTCTCTTCCTCTCCACAGCTGCCAGGAGCGACTGCAACAAGCGATCGTCGGGATGCCTGGACAAACTGAATGGTGCCGAAGGCCTGGCACAGACAGATAAGGCAGCATATTGCCAGTAAGAACTCCTCCTCCCCCGTCTCGCTCTCTCTCTCTCTCTCTCTCTCTCTCTCTCTCTCTCTCTCTCTCTTTCTCTCTCTCTCTCACACACACACACACACGCACACACACATAAACACAGACACACCCACAGTATAAACACACACACACACACACACACACATACACACACACATACACACACACTCATACACACACTCTGTCTGTCTGTCTGTCTCTTTTCTCTCTTCTTTCTCACCCCTCCCCCTTTCTCTCTTTCTCTGTCTGTCTCTTTCTCTCACCCTCTCTTCTCTCTTCTTTCTCTCTTTTCTCTCTCTTTTTTCTCTTTTTTCTCAGTTCCTGTTTCTCCAACCATCATCCTCACCCTTCTCTATCTTCTCCACTCTCACCCCGTCCCCCACTTTCCCATTTCACCTCTTTAGTTATTTAATCGCCCCATTTAGTCACACCTGCTGGTATGCTGGGCTAACTCGATACCATCATCATCGAAGCCAGTAATAAAATACGGCGCGAATTCCCCCAACCCTCCTCTTTCTCCTGAAAAACCTTGCAGTCTATAATAATAAACGCCACACTGTCTTGATAAGGCACGAATCTTTCACTGTGTTTGACAAACGTCGTAAACGTTCGGCACTTACTATCACCAGAAAACTTACAAAAGTCAAGGCCATTAATGGGACCTTTACATCCTCTTGCATGTCGGCTGGGACCTTGTCACCTGGCGAGATTTCTCTCTAATACTCACTGCACATTGCAGATAAGTTTCGGCAAATCTAATGTAATACATGTCATACATTTGAGAGACGCCAGATGTTGCTTTATGGAATTTAATCACCCCCCCCCCCCCGAAACCAAACGTACTTAATTTTTATGGTCACCACTAAATCCGTTTTAATACGTTTAATGAAAGTGATCGAAGGCTTCCCCGCAAATGCTAGGTCAAACATTTTGTTAGCACGTAGAATAGGGTAGGGCTTAGTGGACTTTCGGGTGAAATCTGACTAAGCAAAGCAGTAACCAGTTTGATTATAGTGTGCACTGGCGCCGCCATTTATCGAACCCATCCACTTTGACCAACGGACTTCTACTATAACACTTTGACAGAAATGTAATCGAAGCGTGTGCAACCATATTATACGTATATTCTCTGTATCTGTCTCTCTGTCTAAAACAGGAAGGTATCGGCTACCAATACGTGTCTCTCGTCTATCAAGAATAACCAAGCATGCGCCCTGTACTCGGCAGAAGATCTCGCCATCGTCAAGAACTTCCGGGTGACTACAAAGCCAGTTTGTGAGTAGCTGCACTATGATCTCAGGATAATGTTGGAATGAAAGAGCATCTGCTATACTACATACCTATCTACCTACCTACCCACCTACCTGCCTGTACCTACCTACCTACCTACCTACCTACCTACCTACCTATAATTCTACTTACCCACAAGTACCTGCCTCTTTAAATGTTTGTTTGCCTGCCTACCTATCCACCCACACATCCAGGCACCAATCTATCTATCTATCTATCTATCTATCTATCTATCTATCTATCTATCTATCTATCTATCTATCTATCTATCTATCTATCTATCTATCTATGAAACAAACA